ATTTGGTCAATATGTCTAATTTTCTTAAGAATAAAAGTAGTGTTTCCTTGTAAATTCTGGAAATTTTAATGTGTATGTTCAGACTGAATGTTGAAACACTGCAATAACCTGCCAAGGGAAAGAGTTAAACAAGATAATACTTAAATTTCACATAAGAGTACATAGACTACATGCATTTTTAGTTATACCATTATTCATTGACTTTAACTTAAAACTATTTTCTTCTTTTTAAAAAAAATCATTTTATTGGGGCTCGTACAACACTTATCACAATCCATACATACATCCATTGTGTCAAGCACATTTGCACATTTGTTGGCATCATCATTCTCAAAACATCTACTTTCCACTTGAGCCCCTGGCATCAGCTCCTCATTTTTCCCCTTAAATCTCATGTTTCTTCCAGATATAAATATTAGATCATAAAGAAAACTGTCACATAAATTCAATATAAAGTTATACCAGTCACAATTGCCTTCACATTTTAAAAACTTAACTTATTCATGATTATGAAAAATAAGAATTGAAGTTACCTGAGACTAAGGTAAAAATGAAGACTTCAAGGAAGGGAATGCTGTAGAGTTGAAAAAGAAATCATGGTTGAGTTTCCACCTTTCATAGGCTTCAGAAACACTCAACACCTTAATCACTTATGCCATCCAATTCCTGTCCAAAAACAACAAAAGCAAAAAATATTACTTATGGAAGAAAATTACTACATAAATACAGTTTGGTAACATAGGTATGAATATTAAAGTGATCACTCTTGGTAAGCAGTAAGCGATCCCTGAATGACTAATATGTTGATTTGTTTATTGGGAAAATATAGTAGTAGTAAGTTCATTGCAAAATAATACTGGCCTTAGTAGAATAATTTGGCTTTATCTAGAGTCCACAATTTCATCAATGAGAGACATTTCAAGAAACTCAGTTACAATCTTTAAAGATTTTAATCTTTAAAAGAGAAGCCAAAGATGAAAAGTTTTACTTGTTTTCTAAATAAAGTAAGAAACAAATATGTGACCTTACACATAACAAAGAAAGTTACATCTCTCACTTAACTACTATATCATATTATCCAACATTTCGTATTTACAATGACTTTGAAAAAAATTTCATAAGACACCTCCAATGGTCTGAGCCCCACACAGGCCATAGAGGGCATCTTGGGCCAATGCAAATGACATACCAAAGGCGCTAGGCAATAACTGAGACACAGCACCTGACTGGCTGCTAGACACCTTGTGTCAATCATCCAACTATGAAAACCGTGGGGTAATGGTGGAATGATACAAGGTTATGAGCAGGCAGGGGGAAGCCAAGCAAGGAAGCAAAGGAGCCAAAGAGCTTTACAAGAGATAGGAAGAGGGTGTGAGAAGTAGCCTATGCCAGGCTAGGGTAGACCTAGAATGAGTGGCGTCATCACCCAAGGCAGGTGGCAGGCAAGCAGGTACAGGAGTCCCTACCTAGGGTGTGCACCAGGAAAAAGCAGATGACACACTGCCACCACCACCACTACTCTACCAAGGGCTCTACATTGGTGGGCGAAGGAAGCCTGCTATGCCACATACATACTGAAATTCGTTGGAGATACCTGATGGGCAGAGTCACTAGGGGTGCAGGGGAGGGTAGAGACCAGTGCCAAAAGCAGAGCACAGTCTTTGACTCTCAAATGACACCAATTTTGCATAATGAACTGTGGGAAACAGAAGGATTTCTCCCAAGTTGTCTCCCTCAAATATATGCCAAACTTAGCTGCTTGTGAATGACTATACACTTGGAGGTCATCAGAAGTAGATCAGGGATTATTCTCCCTAAGGGTTATCAGCCATCTAGAGCAAGCAGTCACCACTGTTTATCCCACAAGTAGGGCCTACTCCCTTCTGATAAGGATAGTAGTTGACTGTTTCTTCGTAGGAGACCTCAGAGAGGTCAAGCCCACCCAAGGATGACCAAGGTTAGGCCTTCATCATGAATCTAGGGTCCGCCCTTCTTGTCAAATGTATACCTCTAGTTCCTCCCCTTC